ACTAATTTGATTACCACAGATTCTCTTCGATAATTGTTTGAAAACCACTGTAGAAATGTAGCAACTTTCAATAAAGTTTTGAATTGCAAAACATCACCGCGAAAATCTAAATCATAGTTTTAGTGATGTTGTTGTTTTAAAGTTTGTTTTTAAAAAGGAAGTTGCCGAAGTATTCTATCAAATTGAAACTCTTCGATAGTTTGAGTAAATCCGCTCCGATAACAGTACAGGAATAAACAAGCCTGGACTTGTGCATTGATTTCATCCGACTCGTGCGGTACGCAGTTATTTTACACCTACACAAGCCAAACAAAAGTCAAAAAGTCAAAAGAACAATACCAACGATGTATCTATATTGGTTAACAGTTTACCACGCTTTGTGCTTGTCAAAAGAAACCTTCAACACACGTGCTCGTGGCCAAAGACCACGCTCTCGCTTAATACTGTTTAACCAACTAGTTCTATTATTCTAATTAAGCAGCACCTTCCTATTGTCTCCGATGGCTTGTTCAGACAAGATTTTTTTCAAAACAATAACTACTGCACGCCAGGTCGCTTAATCCCTTGAGCCGTACGATCAGCCCTTGTTTAAAAAAATTGCTAGCTAAATCACAGAACTGCTGTTTAATTTTGACGGAAAACCATTCCTGAACGATAATTCTCATGTTCCGCTGAAGCTTATCAAACAATGTTTGAGCTCAACTGATCTAGTGCGTGTGCCGACGATAAACAATTCACTATAGTTTGTCAGTTAATTAAAAGTCAACGGTCGTCTGAAAACATGCTTTGACAAGGGCAGTGTAATTATTGAGGTCGGGACTGAAATCATAGGTCCGTTACAGCGTCACAGATACTCGGCCTACTCCTTGAGCATATGTCGTAATTTCTACGCCCAAGAAACTAAAAAAAGGAAAGTGTGAACAACTCGCGTGGCCAGTGCAGTGCACATAATAGGCCATCAAAAAGAACTCACAGGACAAACAAAGGGGTAAATATTCATGAATGATTCGACACGCTATCTTGTTAAACATCGCTTTATTTTTGGCGGTAAAAACCTCGTGGGCGCACGTTTCACACATGTGATAGAACTGGCACTGGCGCTACGCACCCTCTATTTTTGGCGGGAGTCGCTTTGTTGCCATACAGGTTGAACACATGTCTCAATCGTCAATGAAATTCCATTGAATCATCACCTAAAACGCTGTTGGCGCCATATGTAGATAATTCTACTGAGTTCAACTCAAAGAAGTTTCAACGCGAGAAATTAATTTTTGCTGTTCAATTCACTGCATATCAACTCGATAGCAACTTGGTTGTTAGTGGCATTCTTTTCAACAAAGAAAACTTGGCTACAATTCACAGAGTTTGTTGAATGGAGTTTGCAGTTTAAATTTCTCCATGTATTGTTATGTTAATCCCTGATTGATCTCGTTGACGCTAGCGTAAGCATACCATGAAAGGAAAACCTTACGTTTCTGCAACATGTGCAAAGCGCTGAAATACTCAAAAGGGCAAAACAAACTGGATCATTAAAGCACCATTCAGGACACACAGGGGGTCAAATGAATACAACAAAATTCCACCAGTGCGGCACTTGCCTTTAGTGTTTAACAATTCTTCAACCAGATGAGACACCTGTGAGGAATATTGACTGCTGATGATCTTGACGGATAAATCGGTCTTTGTTGAACGGTGATAAAAAGGGAAACAACGAGGAAATAAAATTGTGTCTTAGCCATCAGTGTAAGCTTCGATTGCACTGTGGGTGGGTTTTAGCAGTGATGAAATGACCATGCAAACATCTAGATTTAGATCTCTCTAGCTTTCCAAATTAAAGGTGATCTTTCCACTTAGTACTAGCCAGTCTGCAATGTCTTTGGGAACAAACCTTACCAAAGTTACACCCGGGTATAATCGAAACGGAAAACGCTCCTTATTGAACCTATGAGTTCTGCTAACAACAAGAAGCTTGCATTCAATACACTGATGGACACGGCTTTAAAAATCGAATATGGACGTTGTTCCAACTAAGCTTTTCATGTTTACGAAGCTGAACAAAACAAAGGGAGTGATATTTGAAAGCACAATGAACACATCTCAAACTTCAACCACAAGGACTGTTTGTGATCAGCCGCGTAACCCGAGAAAAGAGGAAAAACACGCGTTTTCTGGAGAAAACTATTTTAAATTTGAGTTGATCAAATCGGAAGATCACATGGAAACACCCTCAGGCAAAGAAAATTTAAAGAACTTAACCGCAAATAACTTTAAGTTGTCAGTTTCTCCTCAACCATACCTGTGAGCTAATAGAATAATATATTAGTCACTTTTACCCTGTGGGCTGTGAAGAAATTTCCGAACAAAACTCTCGCAAATAATAAAAGTACTCGCTGAATAGGAACTATCAAGTGAACGCAGGTGTCGAGGAATCGATAAACAACTTGCGAGCGTTCGGAACAACTTTTTTGTCGAAAAACTACGAAAACGCCTTCACGTGGAATGCTGGAGCTAAAACAATGCAAGCTTCATAAGCAGCTTCATTCTGAAGAACCACTTGAAAACTTTTTCATTAACAAACGTCGAAGTTTTGAGAACCAACAGAAATTTGTAAGAAAAAAACACCGAACGTGTGAATTGATCAAGTTTGATCAATGAATACATGCCAGCAACCAATTTTCGGCCGAAAGACGTTTAACAAAAGACATAACCATGTACAACCTATTACTATTCATTCTTAGCATCGGTGTTTATTAAAATTGCTCTGAACAATGGCCAGCCACAAGTTCCTTAACAGCGTACAGGTGCTTGGGCAACGCACAGCGCACCAAAGAAGAAAAGGAAAAAAGAAACATTACCCTTACGTTTTCATAATGTAACTTTTTGCTACTCAATTAACGAGAGTTCAATCAGAGAGCGTGGGAAAACTGTGGAGATGATGTGTGCTTGGCGGTCGTGGCGAATGGAAATGGTAATTTCTTAACGTTGTCGCCGAGGAACTCGGATCATTAGTGAAAAGCCGGCCACCAAACAAATACAGAAACTTCAATTAGTTAGTGCGCGGTAACTGAAAATCAACGGACGCCAAGGAATATCGATAATGAGTAATCGGCGATGAGCGCGAAGAGGCACAGAATGAGAGTGTATTTTCGAATTTAGGAGACAATTGTGCCACCTGAGCATACCCGCATTTCAGCTGTTTTCTGCGCCGGAAAAAAATTGTGAGTAAAACAAAGTACTTAACTCCTTAAGAGCTTGGCCGTGCTTTCAAGATTCCTGTTTTTAACACAGAGCGAGGAAAACGGCCAGCTATAGGTCGCACAGATGTGATTCTAAATTACTTTGATTGTATAAATAAATTTTTTGAGAATACAACGTGTTTACGCTTTGCTTAAGTGGTCTGAGTCGTTAAGAAGGGCGTGGGCTTTTTTTCAAAGCGACGATCAGTGGTCGCCAATATCAATGCAGGGTGTTTTGAAACAAAACTAAAACAAGTCAGCAAACATGCGGTGCGAGCATTTTAATCGACTAATGACATGCGGCGAGTGGATAGCGATAGTTTGGCAGGCTAGCACGTGTAGCATGTGCCGAGCTGAGCTCAAACAAAGCGGAATGAAAAAGATGCTTGCTCCACAATAACAACACGGGAAAGCTAGAAGTGAGTCAAGAATGAATCCTAGTTACATTCATTAAGGAGTGGAAGATTATTATACTTAAACAGATCAGTTCTAAACACAATTTATAGAGACTAATCACGAGTAGGGTTGTGTTATGGCCACTAATTTTATCGTTTCGAAACAACGCGAAAATGCAGGAATAAGTAAAACAGTTAGAGCCAGCGCACAGAATGAATGATAACGAATCATTTGTTCTGGTGTGTTCGACACACCTGCTGGATTCAGTGAGTATCAACTCACATTGATGCAGTACACCTTTCTAATGTTTCAGTTTGTGGTGAATTTAACAAGGGGGGTTCTTTTTACTCAGCTGTAACGTTCTCAAAATATCTCAACCCGTTGTAGCCCAGCTGTTGCTCTGAAGGCTTTAGTTTCCAAATTGCTTTAATAACGAAGGAATATGACGAATTCACAATGAAATGTTGTGATGGATCAAAAACAAAGAGTAAACTAAACTCACAGCAAAGATTATGACTTTATTCAAATAGAAGACTCCTCTCACAAGTGAAATTAAGATGGATGTTTGCGACAATTAATGGCAAAAATGAGTTTGATTGTCCCCTTTTCTTCCTTCAATTTCTAAACCAACACAGTCGGAAAACTAAAATAAAATTTCAAGTTCACAGTTCAAATATTTTCACTAACGTGTATAAACTGCTGAAAGCAGTCGGCAAGAATTTAATATCTTTTCACTTTTGTGTTCACTGCGGCCGTTTGCCATAACTTGGTGCTTAACCACTTCATTACGGAACTTAATCAGAGGAACATTGTTGAAGCATATAACAAAGGAATCGAGCATATTTTGACGCTAATGGTTGGATTGGGGCTGCACAAATTCAAAACAAGTCACTTTAGGCACAAAAAACAATAACTGGGAAAAACCAAGACGGGAAGTAAAACAAAGTTCCGCAAATTGGGAAAGTACAACCTGTAGCTTAAGGAACTGGTTGATAAACTCTGAGCAGATGTCAGGCAGGGCATAATTCGGTTTAGCTTCAGTAAAGAGTATTTTCATTCTTGATTAATTATGAAGATATTTAAAGAAATTTTAAAGGCTTGGGAATAGGATGAACTAGACTTAAGTCTTAAAAGTTTGGATTTGATGTAATAATTTTATGGACAGAACGCTGCTTACTGACGTGTATTTGCACACCAACTGTGTGATTCAAGGCTTAGAGACTGTATTTGCTATTTTTCCTGTGCGGTAATTGAAATTAAACTTTAAGTTGAGGTCGTATCCAGTAGCATTTTACTCTAATGGCGAAAAAATATGCCGAACCTACTCTCAAAGCTAAACTATATGGGAACTTACATTTGTGCTTCAGTCTTCGGTTTTGGCAGAAAAGTGGAAAAAAAAAACGACAACAAAAAGAAAAAACGGTCAGCTCGCTCGACTCCTTATCATACAGCGCGCGTTAAGTCCTGGAAGTTCGTTCTCGAACAGGACCTTAGTACCCTAGTAAAATCTCCCTATACCCAGAAGATTTAATAGATCACAGCAAACTTAGGCAAAGCTAAATGAATGAAATGCTGAAGGTTTTCTCGTGCATTCAATGAATCAAGATGGCTTTCTGTTCCAGCAGCGGGATTCAGGTCCCTTCATGTTAAGGAAAACGGAAAAGCTCCATCAGTTTGGTCTACTACTTCCAATATCTAAATATCAATTCTCCACACTGTCTACCATACTTTTATTCTAATTTCTTCTCATCATTCTTCTTGATGAACATATACTGATAACTTAAGTAGAAATTGGTTCTTGGTCACTCGTTCGCCCACAGTGCAGGCGTTTTACTTGAACGAGTTGGCGTTTCAAGCTTGCAGTCGTTTATTCAGACGGCCATATTTGATTTAGAGTCAGACTGGACGGTGGAGAGAGGGAGCGTGGAAAGAAAAAAAGATTCTTATTGCCCCAACATGCTGCATAGATATAGGCTAAGTCGCCTAAATAGCAAATATATAATTATTTCTTAAACAAGCCATGAAGATTCATCGGAGTAACTCCATTTACAACCGCTCGGCCCAGCTCTTTGAAATCTTTCGCGTCCAGCACCAGCAGGGAGGTGGTCTGGTCGCGGGTATTAATCACAGATGAGAGCACCACACCGTCATCTTCATCCTTCCCGCCAGGCCTTTTCACGAACACAGGCTCAGAAGTGAATCCCTCAGGCTCCTCCCATGTGATGTACTCCTTCGTCTCGACATTGACCTTTATCAAATGGTCAAAAACAAATTTCTTCGTCCCTATGCCATATACGAACTCGTACTCTTTGCCGTTCTTCTCAGTGTAATTGAACTGGGGCAATTCCAATCCGGCGTTCAATAAAATGTAGTCAAGCCCATCTGCCCGCCTAACAAGAGATTTCCCCTCCTTCACATTTCCGAGTTCTTCCAGGGGAAGCTCGTAACGACGAACTTCTGCAAGAGCAACATTCTTTTTGGCAGATTCTTTGGAGGTTCGCACGTTATGTAGGTAAAGATCGTCAATAATTTGGCTGTCTGGGTAACAGCAAGCGTCGAGGTGAATCTTGCCGTTTTTTTCGAAAGCGTTGATGTGGTGAAACACGAAAAACGGCTCCGCTGTGAAGACACCAACATGTGTTCCTTCTTTCCTGTCGATTACGAGAAACCTTGAGAGTTGGTTCGGATCCCAGTGGAGCCAATCCACGACACTTGACTCGAACAATTTTGTCGTCAGAATTCGCAATATATTCCAGGACAAAGGTGTTTCGGTAAGTACCAGATAATGCTCCGTGAGGACGAAGCTATGCATGTAGCCAAGGCCACTGGTAGGCCGAATGGAACAAAGGACTTTACCGCCATCTAAAGGTTTCTCGTCCGATTTTCCAGAGGAAGGTGGTATCTGGACGATGTTGTATGTGGCGTAGGCACCAAATTGGATGGAAACGTTAAGAACTGAACCATCACGGGTTATCTGTGGATGAGCGGTTGCGATATCGATTCTAGCATCGCCTATTGAAAAAGAATAGGCAGTTAAGACAGCATATGGCTACTGGTATAGTACAATTTTTATATCATTGAAAAGAACCAGAGGTTATATAATAATGCTATAAGCTAACTTTGCAGAAGATTTCTCGCATGCAAAACAGAAAACCTGCCGCATCCCAAATACGTTTGAGAACCCTGTTGCACAAGAGAAAGATGATTCAAGAATACAGCGAATAATTGACACTCAACCACAATTAAATGGTAATAAATAATCATATTAATAGCAACAATAATTATAATGATGATGATGATGATAACAAAAGTAATAGTAATGGGAACTTAAAGGTGCTTACTCAAGAACCTCATTGTTCCTCTGTCGATCTACCCCTAGGCTCCAATAATGATTAAACTAGCTAACTTTTTCGCCCCATGTAAGGTAATCCAGAACAGTATTAGATTCTGGATTCCACGTTGTGGATTCCAGATTCCAGGTGCTGGATTCCGGACTCCATCTCAAATTACTTTTTTAACTTTCCTTTTAAACAAAGACCAAATTGAGGAAAAATTTAAACGGAAATGCAATTTTTATGACAGCCTATGTATGTCGCAAATAAATCGCAGACTATACCAAGAAAAGCTTGTTTTCCTATATGTAACTAGCGATGATGGTGGATATTATGAGATTGCGTATAAAACGGTGTTCAAACAACTCAACTAGACTTAAACCTATGCAAAATCGCGAAAGATCTGCATTTACACGGTAATTTTCTATAGTACACTACAAGACATACAGTTAGTAGCACCGAAAAACAGTGTGATCACCTGCTACTACTCAGTGTAATTAAGCGTTAAATGACCGAAGATGTTCCGAAACAAACAAAAGCCAAGAGCGAGGAATATAGGGTAAAACTCGGCAGACTTCGTTGTGGACGAAGAGGTCGTTCGTATTCTATTGTTACCCACACTCACTCAACAGGATTACATTATGGCTTCGCCTTCATAGGAGGCAGTCGCCATAACAAATTTTTCTGGTCAACAAAGGGGTTGTTTACATGAAAACTGAAGTAAGCATCTTGTTCATTTTCTTACAGATCATTTACTTCAGGACAGCTTGCTCGCCTTCTAAGATATTCATCAGTTAAATTGGTCTAACTATGAATCTACTTCAGACTTGGCATTGCACCGTTTTCTTGAGAGTGAAGCAGCGCACTAACTGACTGTTACTGTAAGAAACGACACAACCGGCTCATCAAGGTCCGTTGGATCAATATCAGTATCTGGGCAACTGCTCACCTACCCCTCCCCTAACCCAACATTAACCCTAACTTGTTATCAATAGACTGTTGTTGGGTTAGGGGAGGGGTAGGTGGGCAGTTGCCCAGATACTGATATTGATCCGGTCCGTTCACTTTGAAAGGGGCGCTAAGCCCTACGGTTTGCTATTGTTCATTTGCTTTCCTGTTTTCACGTTAAAGAAGACAATCTTGGGAGATTGGGCATTTCTCAGGTATCCCAAAATAGCTACACGACGATGGGGAGAAACCTTTTTTTTATTATCTTTTTTTTTTCCTTTATCCTTTACCAAACCATATTCAGTGACACACCGGTGCAGTTCTGAGATGGCAGTGGGCAAAGTAATGTAAACGACTTGTACTAAATTAGAGCCTCCCTGATTTGATCAAAGAAAGGTTACCCCTCCCCAGGTTTCAAGTTTTACTTGAGCCTATACAGGAAAACCCTTGAAACCGTAAAATAGTTAATGTAGATCTACTCCCAATCCATCACAAATGCTGCAATCTGATTGGCTATCTCGCTCGCTATCTATTCTGTGATGGCGGGTGAATAGCACTTGGAGGGTTAAAAATAGATTTATGCTCAAACTGATAATGGATGGTTCACGCCGACTTTTCAGTCATACCATATTCCCCTTATCGTTAAATACTCAATTGTGGTTACCTGGAAACTCCGTAGTGAGGTCAACTCTATTCAGAGTTTCCAAACTCTGTGGGTCGAATTCATGCAAGAAGTTCGCCTCGGTAGTAGCGTACAGTTTGTCTTTCATGGCAAAAATATTCACGTTCGTGTTATCCGAAGGAACGTAACCATGCCAAAACTTCGAGAAGAAACGGGAGAAAATATTCTGGCACGGATCTGGGGGAATGAAAGTGCCGAATTCCAAGTGATTCGCTGAGCCATGTTTCAGAGAATCCGCGTAACTCTCACCCCGAATGAACCTGTTGCCGTAGGTCACATGACCATCCTTTATCTGGAAACGGTGCAGAAGTGCTTGACCGTCGAACCAGTGATTGAACGGAATGTCACCGCACTCGAACTTACCAGGCCCATTCCTAAGTAAGGTTCCGTTCAGCCAAGGAGGAATTTCACCTTTAATCTCCGCGTCGATTGGCTCAGGATGTTCATCGACAGTTTGGAAAAGGCAAGCAATACCCTTTGCAGTTGTCATGGTGGAATCCTTCAAATTAAAGATGAAATTAGAAACCGGTTTTTCTTAGCCAACAATATACAGTTTACCCTAACCATTCGATGATATGAAATGTGCAACAGGCACAAACACAAGTGAGTATAGATGCAAGGAAATTCCAGGGTGCATTACTACCTTAACCTACTTCCATGAGTGACCCGGACAGAATTTTTCCCCATAATATCAATACAGATCAAGCAGACAAGTGATGCGAATAAAGAAACATATCAACTACGAGATTGTTAGTCGATCCATTACCAAATTCTTCAAACTTAGATATTAAGAAGTGTATGGCTGACAGTCAGGAGAATTACTGATGAGATATTGGGAGTGAAGGGAGTAGTGCCGCCCCTTTTGAAACGCTTAGGATGCTAGAACCCCAAAATCACCACCCATTAAGTTGTCAAGTTACCTTCAAGGGTTTTTGAAGTCTTATGATCTGAGAAATAAGTTCTGCAGATAACATTATTTCCAACACGAATTATCTACTAGATGATAAAAGTTTTATGTAACATTTTCAAAGAAAATTTAAAAAGTTTTAGAATTGTTTATTCTTGGGTTTAAAAAAATTATTTGGGCCAATTCAAGAAAACGCGATTTTTGGTATCTTAAATTTTCCGACGGGCAGTTCTGTCATTTTCATGGAAGAGCGCCACTTCCTCCCTCAGCCTTATCACAGGTGTCCCTGCTTCATATACGAGCTGTGTAAATTTGGCTCCAATGAGAAAATCTTTGGAAATACCGTAAACAAATAAGCGTGAGTATATTTTTTATTCTTTTTTTCACGACTTTATGTTAATTTTCGTTGTTTTTTTTCCTGCTGACCTAACCTCTCGAGCTTCGCGAAAGCTCTCTGTCACAAAGATTATTACTGCAAAGAAATTGCCCAAAAGCAGACCACGTTTTTTTCCAGAAGTAATGTAAAAAAATCTGCGGATTTTACAAGAACAACACGCAAAAACATGTCACGAAATGATATGCAAACAATTAATTTGCGCAAGAACTACACTACATTATGAATCCATATCCAAACCATTTCATTTTACTTTCAGTTGCTTGTCGTCTAGTCGGCCTTTTGAGACTTGAGGAAATCCCGAACCATAGAGTTTGGAATTGCGTTTTTAATTCCAGTTTATGTTAGAACTGGAATTCGAGTTCAAGTCATAATGGTACTAACTCCCACCATCGTGGCATAATGTTGTACTTTGGTACTTGTAGTTTATGGCTCTGCTCTCAATACCTAAGAGAGTTTGATCTCCTTTGACGGCAGGAAATCTCTATCTCTCTCCACTTTGTGGTCCATTGAAATTTCCCATACGTTAAGCATTTATGGCTGATATTGCGTGCGGGAGTTGTAGCTTCCACCGCGCGGTTCTTTTTTGAGCCACCAAACAACGACTGCGAACGATATCAACCCTGCATTTTTCGAGAATGAATTTCATTCTCACCCATGGTAAAGATGAAACTTTCTGATTTCTCATTGGTTAAGTGTACTGGCGGCGTTAATGTAGTTTTCGATTCTGAACCAAGTCGTGTTTGTTCCCAAAGTCAGTTTTTTTTATTTTCGCCTGAAGAGGTTCGCGCGGAATCCGAAGGTCTGAGGTTCGATTCCTCGTGAGGACCTATATTTTTTTTCCTTGTCCCACACTCGTGACAAGACGAAAAACATCTTTGTCTGGAGTTTCTTGTTGTTTATCGAGTGAGGTATTTCAATACACAAAAAAATGTGTCCTCCAGAACGAGGTTTCGTATTTATTTGGCCGCTGGTGGTGGTATTCTTATCATGCATCGTTGAATTGCTAATAAGTTGCGTTATCATTCAAGTAAACCCATTTAAACATTTTAAACCCGAAACGAAACTCGAAGTCCAAGTCTCGAGGTCCAACCCGAAATCCATTTCGACGTACGACTCAAAGACTGGAATCCAAACACCAGCATGCCTTACTGCTAAAACAAGGTTTCGGAAATTTTCGAGCAATTTTTGCTTTTACACTCAAATGTGCAGTTTGAACAGTCTAAAAATTACACTGACTTGGGTTCTTGCTACTAAAATCAAATTTGATCATGATTATTTAGTAGCCGCCCCTTTATCTTAGAATGCTGTTGCGTGACAATCTGTTACATCAATTCTTACACCTTTTGTTTTGAAGAAAATACGATTCGCCGACGCATTGTTTTATTTTCTTATTTTTTTTCACATTTGCTAAGGCAAACTGTTCGCTACCAAAGCGCACGTGAAAAAAAGATGAAGGAATATACAAACTGTTAAAAGTGCGTGTTGAGTTGAATCGATACTCGACCAAGTTAAGTTTCACTTTACCACAATGTGTTTCGAAATGCTGGGTGCGAAATGTCTACACAGAACAGCGGTGATTAAACGAGTGATATTAAAATCTCTGACAAATTACTTCCAGTACTTTTACGGAGATAATTCCTACATCGCCTCTTATCCAGTTGAGGCTGCTTGATAATGTCTATGGTGGTATATCTTTCGAAAAGGAAAATATAAAGTTTGCTATCGGACCTGTTCGTGTGAAGAATACTGATGCATGATCGAAATTATGAAGCACGAATGCATCGAACACGAGGCTGTTCTATCGCGTGAGTATTCCTCTAATCTACCATAAGAGTAATAGCTCATAAAAGACGACAATTCAGTGATGATACAGCGATAGCGACGAGACAGAATAGCGAATTAGTTCACAATGTTGCAGAGATAACAGGCAAGCAATATTCGAACAAACAGCTGCATCGGTTCTCACAAATTAAACTAGAAAATGAATACCATACTGACTCGTGTCCTTAAGGGTGAAGAATTTTTAACCTCAGCATTTGGCAAGCATCATCTTCTTACCTTGTGAAATAGTATCTTCCCACAACGCTAGACAAGCCGATATGCGCTTGTTGTGCTCTATTCACCAGTCTACCTGATTACGCAAAAACACCTTTGGTTACATTACGCACCATACATGTTCTGACTTGTCACGCCACGGGCAAATCACGTTTTAGACGCTTCGTCACTAACCTGAGAGACTGCAGCCGTTTACACAAGGTTCAGGCCGGTTTTAGCTCTTTAGTTTGGTTTGGTTTTTGGTTTTGGTTATTGTCAAGTGATTACGCCCTAGGGTAAAAATAAAGCAACACAAAAGAAGCGACAGTGAAAATGCTTTTTTTAGAGTCTCCCTTTGTCAACAGGCAAAAAACACACTGACTAAATGTCTCTCAAGACTATTACTAACCGCGTGATATGAACCGTGACACATAAGTCTGGAGTTGATTGTAATCGAGCTGAATTCGAGTTTTGAACTTCGATCGAGTTGAACCTATCCATAGCTGGACTCTCAGTTGGAGTCAACTTTAAATCAACTTACAAAGTTCAACTGGATTTGAGTTGGACATTGACCCTCACGAAATATAAAAAACATTTTCTGAAATGTTTCCGCGAAAAACACTCTAACCTTCTTTAATTTCTCTAGAAGGTTCATGTAATTGGAAGTGAACTGCAATTATCGTTCCAAGGGGTTAACGTCACTGTGCTCTTATGAAGAAACTCTTAAGGAAGCAAAATGAATACTCATAAGGACATCAGCAAGAAACAGAAAGTCACACTACAAAGTTCTACAGTTGAATGAGGTAGCCCTCGTAGTTGAAAACGATGCATCTTTAAGGGTAACTCTTTCGTGTTCTTCTACTTTACAGAATTAGTATTTGTTCAAGTTTAAGATGCAGGGTTTTGTATGTTTCAAAACGTGATTTAAAACACTTTAATACAATCTCTTGATTTTTTAGTCATGAAGCTCCTTTTCCTTTGAAACGTGACAATGATGTAGACCATGTCTTCTAATGTATCCAGGCGATAAATTTTAAACTTCTCCCATTCCCGACACTCAGCAAAACGACTTAGTAACTTATTGCAGAAACGAGGAAATGTCAAAGCCTGGTTTTGGGCAGATATTTGACAAATTTTATCCCCAGAGAACACGTAAATATAAACATTCGTTTTTGTGGAATATCCAAATGTAAATATTACTCAAATGCCACATTTTCATAAGTCAGTAGTAATCAAACCCGTCAGCAAAAGTTAGTAGCTCTCTTTCAAAACATGATATCCTGTCTTAGGTAAAACGAACTATCAAATATTGTTTTCTTTCCTGTAAAAGTTTAGCTAATAAAAGGTGTGCAAACCTCCCTCCTCCTGTTAGTGCTCTCTGCTAACTATCGCACTCCGGTTTCTAACTGAACGGCTGTTACAAGCTTAGTAATAAAGCGATATTAAACTGGACCAAATAAATCACCAAAAACGTGGCCTGAGTTTTCTAGTTGGTGAAATATAACTGAATATAAAAATAATGACTCATCTTCTTTCTCGTAAAACCGGATATTTTATTCAAAATTAACTCTGTACGTACCATTATTAATATTGCGGCGGCGAGTCGCATAGCAATGTAAATGTCACTGGTTACAGTCGAGTGCTGTCAACTTCAGTTATATCTACACCTGTACTGAATCTATAAGCTTTTAACTCAGGTAAAGTCTACAGAATGATCTATAGCAACCGAAATACGGCCTGTGGGCCAGTTTCAAGCCAAGAGATAGTAAATAAGACTTCACTTAGGAGAATGCTATTGAAGTTCCACAAAATTTCAAGCTTTCGTTCCATCCGAGAGCTTGTTACGCACTGGTTACGTAACCATTCTCACCACAATCAATTGACGCATTCCGTCACGCTTATGGTTGAAGATTTGAATATTTTTATACACAAAAGTGAAATTCTTAAGTTCAACTTTGCAAAAATTTAACCTCTCTCTATCCTTGATAATCTTCACCAGTTTTCCCCGGTTTCGTATGATAAATAAAATATTATCTTGTTTTTATGACAATCAAGCTAAAGCTTCATTCCACTATGGAAGTGTTTGTGCATCAAAAGATTGTGTATTGCATTGTTCTCGAAGATATGTCTAAAGAATGTTACAAAAACACGTCAATTCTTTTTTGGGTATAAAACGTGTTCAAGTTTCTTAAATAGCCCGAGGGCATTTCTCAGAAATCAAGGAAGAAAAGATAACAAGGAAAAAATAAATTATGAATAACGAGATAACGTTCTCGAAATTTTTTTGATATTAAAAGTATAGATCTCTTTCTTGTCTTCATCTGTATATTTCCATGCTAAAGTTCGGCTAAAAAATTCCGGCGATTCACTTGAAGATTGCGTGACGATATTAAATTCGTTAATACATTCTCAAAAATTTGCATAGAACTTGTATGGGATGCCAAAGCGGGTGGTAATATTTAAAGACAATTTTCATTGTAAACGAAGTTTGAATTCAATCAAACACCCAGCCGCAGTGCCGAAAGAAAATCTCAGATAATTGGAACTTTGGGGTGGAACCTTATACACCCTACTATCAAAGATTTGAGTGTTTTATATTCATACTTTGTACATTTGAAATTAAACCGATCAGACAGTGTGTATACTGCTGTCCTGAGAAGAAGCATGAGATGATCTCCTATGAGTTTGAGGGGGAGATAATTCCATCTGGGAACGGAAAGGTACTCTTCTCTCGTTTTCCCTGTCTAAATAATCATCCGTCTCGTCCGTAAACCTGAGTCGCCCTTCACCAGGGTTGGTAACGTCCGTATTACTGAGCAGGAATCCATCTGTCCGCCTCTTCCCGTGAACAACATGGTAATATATAAACAGTAGTAGGTTTATAGACAGAATTCCACAGAGGACAGCGAGAACGATGTTTACGTTCAAAACTTGACAGTGGGTAGGATCAAATTTGACTGACTCGCATCGTGCGGTTCCTTTGTCTGTTAAACGAAGAAACAATGAAACAACAGCGGGCCCGGCAAATCTGCCGAGTGCCTCGGCGAGGTTGAAAACACCGATAAAAACTCCGCGGCGGTTTCGCGCCTCGTCGCTGAAATCGGTGATCTTTTGCGAGTAATAAACACCCGCGCCAGTGAAGAAAAACGCTCCGCCGGAAGTGGAAAGAGCCACCGCTCCGAAGTAAAAGCCATTCTGCAAACGTTTGTCGGATAATTTGTAATCTATAAGCAAAACAAATCCCCAGACATTAACAATCAACCCAAGAATTGAGAACATCGCGGGGGATAGTTTTCGGTGAATTGTTCCCCGTATGACAGTTCCAGCGACAACGAAAGCGATTCCACCAGAAATATAAACTTTCCATAAGTCTCTCTCCGACGATATCAGGTGGTACTGTCCGAACGCGAGGGTGAATAAGTCACTGATAATTCCCCAGAAACACGCCGTTCCGAAAAACACTGACAACATCAACAATGTAGAGTGGACAACGAGTCTTTTCGCCTCTCTGCAATTAAACTTCATTGCCATGTGTGGCGCCATAGGGTTCTTAAAAAAGAATTTTATCAGTGGTAACATGATTAACACAACATTCGCGGTCGCCAACCAAGCAGGGGTTGTATACAAGTTGAATATTTTACTAGTCGTTGTGGTCGTCTCTTCATGACCTGCCAGAAGAGGTACGAGAAACATTCCAATTAAAGGCCCCCCTAACAAACCAATTGCTTGGGCAAGCTTGAAGCTAGCCACAGATTTTCCACGGGTTTCTCGCGGAGTCGTGTTCGTCAAGTAGATTAGCGAAAGGGTCACCGAACCAGCGCTAAGGCCTGCTACAAATCGACCGACAAAAACCATATGAAGCGATTGCGCCAAAACGGATAGGCCATACAACCCATTTCCCGTTACATTAATAATCAATGACAACATCACGGCGAATTTTAAGCCACGCAAATCCGAGATGTAGCCCAGTAGAGGCGAAACAACGGCTTGAGCAAGAGCGTAACTACCGAACATGAAACCAAACAAAGTTGCACTTCCACCAAGGGAACCCCATAACTCTTCTACTGACAAAAGCACAATAGAGTAGTCCAACGCCATTGTGAAGCCAAAATAATGGACAGCGAAGGTTGATAGAAGGTTCTTTGTCGACATTGTGGAGCCTGCCAACCGGCTTTCCTCACAAAACGACTAGAACGCGATGAAAGTCAGTATTCATCGAGTTCCTGTTTTTAATTGAAAGTCGCGTGAAGGCTGGGCCGAGGTCACGCGCAACCACGTGGCGTATCGCACGCTTCACGCTTGATCGATGATCATAATCGGTCTCGCATCCTCCTAGCCTTCTTGACGATCAAACACTCAAGCATTCACTCACCTTTATCCCAGCAGATTTGTCGGGTATTTTTGTTAGAACTAGTTTAAAGTTATTTAGAAGCGAAGGAAACACATCGCTTCGAAAGCGACAACTTGTTGATAACGGTGATGAAATTCATGTCCAACAATTTTGTGAATGAGAATATCATTATGTAAATGAGTACTGTTATGCTCACCCGCGTGACCCGACTTGCGTCAGTGGAATGCACTCTTACGCCCACAAGAAAAAAATCTACTAGATTAGACGTGAGCTAAAGAACTGGGTCGAGTTAATAGGAAGTCAAAATAGGGACTTGGTTAACTATCAAAGAAATGCGAAAGAAAAAAAATATATGTATATATGTGGAGAGATAAATTGATTAATTGATGGAGACAGGCTTATTCTTTAAATTTTGGCCTTTTAGAGTTCCTAGAATAAGTTATTGATTTTCCCCTCACGACACTTAGTCTTTGCGAGACAGCAGGTTATTCAGGAAATTTGAATCCTGAGTCATAATCACTCCCATGATATGTGACCCAGTTTTACTCACTCAAGTCCAAACACATTACACGTGCACCTGAAAAACATTTTCTTGGTTTTGGTTACCTTCCTTGACGCTTTGGTCCTTAAGAGTGACTAGCATGCAATTTCTCCTCACATCACCCCCCCGAATCCGTCATAAGGTCACGAGAATATAGGAATAATCATTCAACCCGAATTGAGAAGCTCTTTTGATTGTTTTCAAGGTGTCGAAAGGCTTACTTGGTGGCCGAGAGAACATATTGGCAATTCACATAAACGAGTTCTCCTTAATAAGAACGCTTTTGGATAATTTATTATAGATCAAAAGCCAATTCATTGCAAAGGCCAATCAGAGCGAAGGAAATAAATTCCCTGAGTGACGTGAGTTGTCAATGAGAGCCCAGAGTCAAGAATCAAACAAACTGCCAAAGCAAGGGAAAAACGCGGGTTGCTAAGTTGGTCATGCAGAACTGTGTCTTAGCTCTGAATCTAATTTTGGTTTTATCAGTTGAGTCGATGGTGTAAATTGGCCAACTTAAAGAGTTCCAAAGCCGACGTTTCGAGCGTTCAGCCCTTCGTCAGAGCGAAAGAAGAAGGGCTAGCGCTCGAAACGTCAGCTTTATAATTCTTTACTGTGGCCAATTTACATCATCAACTTAGTTGATAAAACTATCTCGTTATACTCCCCACTGACGCAGCACCCCAGTTTCTTTAGAAATCTTTCCCCTTTGTTCATGTTGCACATCCCTGTTTGGGACGATGGCAGAAGTTTTTTAAACCAATCACAGAGCGAAGATGAGAAATACCAAAGAAGTCCTGGATTACTCTCTATACGCAATTGAAAATTGCTCATCATATCGTTTTTAATTTCTATAAATAGTATTTTTCAACCAATTATATCACTTTTTTCTAAACCAAATGTCGATTCCAAAATCTTACACCGATCCGTCTGAACTAAAGTGGCGTTTTGGTTTTTTTTTTTCTTTTTTGCTACCATCTCTTGTCTACATTTTATCACCTGGATTATCATCCAAATTTTCGACTCTTTTTTTTTTCAATTCGCGACCGAAACGTCTAACCGTGGGAAAAGAGCTGAGGTCAGGGAGATTTTTGTTGAAACATTTTCAAATTGTTCAAATTCAAATAGCAACCTCAAAATGGCCGTGTCGAACTGGAACGAGCTGTCAAATGAAAATTACTGCTGAATAAATATGACAACTGATTGAAATCGTGGTACGTGGGTAATTTTGTTTTCATTGGGCTCCATGATTCAAGCAGTCACGAAGAAGATTTCTACGTTTAAATCGCTGGGCAGTTGATGACCTCTGAGGCTATTCTCACAGCGAAAGACTGAGGACAAAGATTATATCTGCTTTGGTTTGTATCTCAGGAAGTTGTCTATTTGGCACCGACAAACGTTACGTCCCATGTTCATTTAGTAAAAATTTACAGCTGTTGCTGTCAAAAGATATAGATTATCCGCTATATTTTACGTGGTAAATGCTACATGGATTAATTCACACGTAGGGTGATCTAAACAGCACCCAAGGTGTTTATTGTTTGAGAGATTTGTTATGATTTGAAAACTGATAATGCGTGCAACAATGCAATTCAGTTATTATCTCTTTAACCGGTCGTATTTTATCGTGAAATTGATATTTTATTATTGCAAAGCTGATGAATACATGTATGACTGTAATCTGTTGAGATTTTGTATGTAAAACATTGCGTTGCGGTGTCATTAATATTCCGTGTGGCCAATTAATTTGGGAGTCAGTTATACGTGTCGCAATACATGCTCGTCATATCCACTAACCTTGCGTGACAGCCTTGCATGACTTCCTATGTTAAGAGGTGAAATGGAAAACTGTACTGCACATCATTCAAGAGATTCTTTAAATTCATTATATATGTTTGTTGTTGTTTGTTTTTTTAAAGTGAAGTCGAGTTATTTTATCAATTAAATGGACACGAAAGCAGAAAACACAGACGAAAAGGTAAGTTCTTGTGAGGTAGAAACTTTTTTTAGACAAAAACTAATCTAATCTAATTTTTTTTATCACTACAGTTAGAAAAAATTGTAATTTGTTCAGTTATACTTCCCTTTATAGACTATTTTGAGACCCATTTTGATAAATCAACAGAAATTTTTTTAGCTTTTGGCATTCTTGTTAAAACGTTAAATATATATATAAATATATATCTTTTTAACTAAAGACTTCCATTATTTGATATAAGAAACTGATTGAGGATAGAATAAATGCTCTTGTTTAACTTTTATTTTGCAGTGTGACGTTTCTTCAGAAGCTTGTAAACAGTTAGAGTAAGTCTATTTTTAAAATATTTTTTTCTGTATCAATTCTGTTACAAGACTGACATGTATGTAAGACAGATTTTCAGAAGGTATATTTTAAAATATTTTTAACCTTTTAGATTAGAAAATCAGGAATTAAGAGATAAATTACAGAAGTTGGAAGAGCAAATAGCAGGTATACATTCTAGTGAGAGAGCTGATGTGTCAGTTGCATCACCCAAAGAGAAGAATGGTGAAATACAGGAAACACCTGATAAAGTGAAAGAAAAGAAGGGAAAGGATTTGGAATTCTCCCCTGAGCAAGCAAGGAGGTAAATTGAAAAACATCAATCATTCAATCATCACTAATAAAAGGAATATCACTGTGAGCAAATCAGAAAAAAGATCATTTGCTTAATTTTTTAAAGTTTACAATTATTGTAGAAGTTCCCCAAAACGAAAAATTTCAATGCTAGGGCAGTTACTGATGTTTTGACGTCCTGAAAAGAATCCACGCTTAGAGTTAGGAGACTGTGATGATGATTTCCATGAAAGTTGTCAAATATCAGTCACTGACAATGAAAATGTTCCTTTTCATGGTTGATCTCACCCATTTGATTAGGTACATGATCAACATTGTTGACTTTGTCATGTATTTAGGGAGGAATTAAATGAAAAAGTCCCTCCCTCTGTACGTATTTGTAAACAATTGATTAATAATTAAACTGATATTTTGAATTTGCAGACTAAAAGGAGACTATGATGACGTTGTGAAGAAAAATCAAGAGCTTGAAAGCAGAATCCTCCAAATGGTAATCTAAATATAAATTTCCATCTACCATTTTTCCTCAATTATACAATTCAGTTGCTGTCAGTGTGATCAGTTTTTCATGCAATGCCCTCAGTGTGGGGGTATTGTTCTCATCCCTAGATAGGATGTTAGTCACTGCAGCCAACTCTTCCCCCCAGCAATAATCAAGATTCATATACAAGTTGCTATTATGATCATTTACTCCCATGGGAGAGGTGGTTGCCAAACAGTTTAGTGCACTGGGTCAAGAAGTCACAGCATTTCTTTTTTTTCCTATCTGAACAGTTCATTATGTTGTGATCTTTAGCAAGACACTTTGCTTACAGAATACCTCTCCTTAGTCAGGTATTAAATGGCTATCAAACAACTTTCAGGCAAACCTTACAAAACTCTATGGAGGCGAGGATACTAGCTTCAGTGTCCTGAGGACCATTTGGCTTGGGTGCAAAATGTTTCTTTTTTCTAACCATTTGTGCTCCTAGGCAGAAAGAGACTCTGGGAGAGTAAAACATTTTGCCCAACCTATCAACCTGTCCCTTGCTTAAATCCATGCCTTTTATTTGGAAGTCCATTAGTACCCAGATCACTAGACTGACATGTCTCTGTAGTAGAGACACGGTCCTTAACCCTTGAACTCCCAAGATCAAATTATTAATTCTCCCCTCTAGTTTCTACAAATTTCCTTGTGAATCAGTTATGAGAACTTAGTGTTAGATCAAGAAAACAACTTCTACATGATAAGTTGGAGTTTTCTCAATACCTGTTTGCAGGATAATGTATGATTGGATATTATAGGGAGAAATTCCATGTTAATCACTTCTGGGAGTTAAAGAGTACAGCACATGAACTGAATTTCTTTAATATATCACTACTGTTAACTTAATGCCACTAGGCTAGCGAAATGCAAACAGAGAAAGAGAAGTTTGAGGCAACAGTTGGAGCAATGTCAAAGCAGTTAATGGACTTTGTTGAGAAAATGAACAAACTGGAGGTGGAAGCTGTAAGTTCAAGTTGATCAATTCCTGTTCAATGTCAACTGAATTTGGAAAAACTGTAATTTTGAGCTGAGACCTGTATAATTTTATCATAGATGAAGTACAAGAGAGATTGTTCATTAGTGGTACAGCTTTTGAAGTGTAACCAGTCCCTGGACAGGAAGTTTGTTTCTCAAAAAATGGATACGGTGAGCAAACCATCCCCTTTACACAGAGTATTCATGATGTATGTTAGATAATAAATTGTAAATAATTTACCATGAATTAATCTTTAAAGTACCATTATTGTAACACTTACTATGATCATTTTCATTATCATTGTACTTATTATTATCATGATCATTTTTTTTACTCAGGGTTGTCAAAAATATTTTCATTTACAGGACTGTGATACAAAGTAGGCAGCACTAAACCATGTTATTCCCATGCCATGCTTCTGTTCTGAAAATTGAGCCAGTAGCATTCAGAATAGCTGGATGGTACAATTTAAGAATAGAAGGTGAAATGGGCCTTTTGTAAGTTATTTTGACAACCCTGATGTAACCATAACTTAACATCAATACATTTTCTGTTTACCGGACTGGACTAAACATTGACTTAACTAAATCACAAAAAGCTTGCACACAGGATTTGGGTGGAGGTCAATCAGACCTTAGGATTTAAGGGTTTTAAATGAATGCTTAATATCTTATTAACTTCCTTCTTTCTTTTGTGCTTTGTGCCACAGTTACCATCAGAACTGAAAGACAAGTTGACAACAGAGCTTGACCTTAAAGAAGAAAGACAACCTCTCAGTCATCCAGACTGGAGCAAAAAACTCTGGAGAACAAAGAGTATAGGGCCAACAAATGCAAAAACAGAGCCACAGTCAAAGACTGTACGTACACCCAAGTTCAGTGAATGAGGAATATCAAAAAGTAGTCCATCCACAAACACTTTTAGCATAGTTTGCAGAGTGCATTAGATTTAAGTCATCATTGTGAGCACTTGACACAAGTAAGAATGTGCATGTAGGTTTTTTAACTGAAAACTCATTGAATAGTTTAAATTTTAATTTTTTCATGGCAGCTTTATCAAAATTTTATTGCCAGATAAAATTTAGCAACTGACAGATCTGGCCAATAAATTGTATAAATATTTTTTTTAAGAATGTAACAGCCATCTGGCTAAGCCAGGTACCTCACTGTGTTTGTAAGTGTCCTGACCTAGAAACCCCCCCTGCCTAAAGAGCATAGTAAATTCCAGGGAGTTCACTATGCAGTCTGCTGAGGGAATTGAAGTTTGGAAGAGAAGAGTTTAATATTAGGATATTACAGGTGTTAGATCTGTACTAATTTCTTCTTTCAACTTCCAACCTAGAAGAACATGCATGGTTTTAAAAAAGATTTACAGTATTTTTTGTAGTAAGTTTTCACTGAGGTGAAAATAGAAGATAATTCTTAAAGCAAAATTATTTTAAAAAATAAAAGTTTGAAGTTGAATTTAAGATTGATCAGTATTTTATATGCAGCTGCTGCTGTTTTATATCAAGGAGATAAAACTTGAATAAAATATGAGATATTCATGAACACTTCGTTGCCTAGAAAGGTGTTGTACAGAGATGTTATTTGTCTTGCAAAAAGGGCAGACACAGTTAGTTGAATTGTGTACACTTCCACTGTGTTATGGAGAAAGTGATCAAAGCCAATCAGAGCACAGATAGTTACGTGTATCTCAAGGAGCCAACATGAACTCAAAGTGAAAACAAGAAAACTGCCAAAAAAAAATGGAAAAATGCAAGTGAAGGAGGCGTTTATTGATTTTACTGATTAGTTTTTGTATTAAATCTGGTTGATTAAGTGAGTGGCTGGGAACCAATCACTAAGTGTAGTGAAGCAAAACCAAAACAAACCCAGATTACCTTTACACTCATTTAACATTGCACTGACTAATAATGACAGAAACAATGAAACTGCACATCATGAGGTAATAAATGCAATTGAACAAGGCAGAATCACTCTTAGTTAATAATATCTGGTGGAGTGGAAGTTGAGAATGGAGTTTTTTTAGACCAATCACCGAGTAGAGGAACTCAAAACCAATTGTAACCAATCCTCGGTTGATCTTGGAACTATTATTTAAAAGTTGCTTTGCTCAGATATTATGTCCAAACTTTAACCTGCCCGTCCCACCCACAGGTTGCCACCCAGCTGGGTAGGATGGGGTGGTACGCAACATCTGTGCATGGAGCAGAGTGAGCCTCTATTGTCCTCATCACACGAGCTGTGCTGTGATCATAGAAAAAAATTTTCCCATCTGCTGAGCCAGAACAAATTATTTTTCCATCAGGACTGAAATCACATCCAATATGATAACCACAAACCTAAAGATTAATAAGAAAGAAGTGCTCAGTTTTATTGAATAGTTTTCTTGTTGAGCTTTTTACATTCCCTTAAAGGATGGATCTGACTTTGAAATCTGCTTTCATGTTACACTTTCTACATCATACGGTTTTCAACATGAGAGTAAAAATCATTCTGTTTTCTTTATGAATTGTGAATGAACATTATTTTTTGAGGCGGTGAACCAAAGATTGGGTGGGAACTGTGGCATGTGAATGGGGATTCCTGACAAGGAATTAATGTGGGGGGGAAGCTTGTTTGAAATAGGCCTTTCACCATGGGGACTTGTGAACCAAAGGAGTTTTGCTGGAACAATTTTTTTTCTCAGATGGACCAACCAAATTTATACCATAATAAGGCATTTGTTATTGTACTTTATTAAATTTTATTACCTTATGGCCTTCGTATCTTTTGAACTTATTCAGCTTGTATGGTTTTCTTGTTGAGAACAAAGCAATGTAGTCACCATTTGACTGTGCCACAAAATGTGATTCGTAAGGGTGGACCTTCAAGCAAGTGCATGTAAAGGCTTCCTGAAAATACCAAAATTAATATACTTTTATCATCCATACGTAAAATTCAAGTGATTAGCATCTAATTTCTCCATATGATATCAACCCTGAATGACACCTCAGATCACAAGAATAAAAAAAATGATCACCAACTGAAGGAGCACTTGATTGCTCAACAAATTCTCCTTGTCAGCACCTTAGGATATGTGTAAAGAACAGTACAGAGAATATACATACTGATGTTAGGGTGTAAAGGGTTTGTGGTACTTTGCTTAAAGTGCAGTCTAATAATTACCTGATAAATTTGATTTGATAAAACTGCTGTTGATCTAAAATCCCACACCATGATTCCCTTGTCTGTTGAATTCCGTCTGACAACTTCAGCAGCAGAAACAAATTCTTCTGCTCCTGGTAGAAATGCTATATCTTGTACTTGACCAAATAGAGCTGAGTATGTTGATGCAATCTACCAAAAAAAAATCTTCCCAATGAAAATTCTATCCAATTATTATCCTACTGTGGTTTAATAACAAAAAAATTATTCCTATCAAGTAGAGTTAACCTCTGTGGCTGGTATTTTTTTGGCAGCCTGACCACTTCTATTTGTGTTGAGCACTCAAAAAAAATCACCAGCTGTGATGGCTTGTTTACAATCTATTTCCTCCATGTCTGAGAAATATATAAAACAATGTTCACATTGTAACAGCTCTTGTATCAGTTGATAGGAGTTAATCGCTAATGCCTGTAATGGGAGTGCTGTCTTGGGCTCCATGGCACTAGCCTCAAAGCTGCAAAACCTCAGGCTAGCCTGCATCTAGGGACTTGGAAAATACTGGACCAATCAATCAGCATTCACTATCATGTCACATCTCTTTTTCATCATACACAGGAAAAAAATGCAGCACATCTTGGGAAATTTTGCAGACTTAAATGGATCTCAAAACTCTCTCTTCACTCTAAGGTAAAAGGATCTTCTTAAAATAGAAAAATATGTTATTATTCTAAAAATAATTTATTGTTACATGAAGATTTTAGGACATCTGTCCAGTAATTGTGCACTTACACTTCCAGTCCTTCTGTCCCAACATAGAATGGAAGATTTAAAAGTCCCAGCTAGGAACAGGTTGGGATCACTGGGATGAAACTGGACACAAGTCACATAGTTTCTGTGTGGAAACACTTTGATTTCCTTTCCTGTCAAAATAAGGAGCAACATAAATCAATAAAATCAATTTAAGCATCTAATTTAATCACAGACATGCTTTGTAGCACTAAACATAGGAATATAGAATACACACCAAATCAATGAATGCTTAGCCAAAATAACTAACACTGTCAATACACTACAAAACTGATAACATTAACCCCTCAAAATGCACAAAGAACAAGTGCAAGGGCAGGGGGGGGAGAAAGCTCCAGCTCTCCAAGCAAATGTTTGATGAGAGGCTCAGCCCCCAATGTTTCAGGCTCCACAATACTGCGGGCACAGCATAAAATTAGTTTAGCAAAATATTCAGTCTTGTAATCTTTTCAAATCATTTCATCAGGATTATTATATGTGCAAAATTATATGTGGTACTAAGCCTTTTTAGCTTTGAACAGTACCAGCCTGTGTTTCAAGAAGAACACATTAGGAATTTTTTGGATAATTTGAGTAACAGTTTTTACCTGGTTTAACCCTTAACTCCTAAGAATGACTAACATCAAATTTTTCCTTACAACTGTATATCACCCTTGAATCAAACATTAAGGTCATGAGAATAAATGAAATGATCACCTACTAAAGAAGTTCTACATTGCTAACCAAATTCTCCTTGTGAGCACCTTAGGAAACGTATAGAGAACAGTATGGAGAATATACATACTGATGTTAGGGTGTAAAGGGTTAATATACTGGATGAGTTTCCCCCACCCACCCTCAATCACACACACACACACACACACCACACACACACACACACGCACACACACACTTCAATGTGCTGCACCACGCCTGAGTATACAAGATAACACTCTCCACCTAGTTATGTTTCCCTAACCCTATCACTGGTCTCTTGCTTAATGTTTTCATAATGCAGAGGAAAGTTGTACATTAGTTCACAACTTTTGTTTATACACCACAATACCTGTTTCTACATCAAACAGTCTTGCAGTTTTGTCATAACCACAACTCAACACATGTGACCCACAGTGACTCCATTTGGCATCTTTTACTGCTTCAGTATGACATGTCAAACTTTGCATACAAGCTCCACCTTGCCGTGTGTCCCAAACACAAACTGTGCGATCCATCGATGAAGACACCAACAAATGATTATTACTCTCTGTAACATTCCATCTGATGCAGTTAACACCCTGGGTGTGACCTTTAAGATTTAAATGTAATTTCTTTGATGGTTTGCATACTTGATCTGTGTCCTTGCGGTTTAGAAATTTAGCTTCATCTGGGTGATAATTTGCTCCTTTCAAAGAGCTATTTCTCAAGGTTAAATCAGTGTCTTGTGACGGCTGATTCGCCATAAGGGATGAGGATGTTGCTTGAGCCAATTTCTCTCTTTGTCTCTTAGACACGTAAGGTTTGACGTTTGGTCCTGAACTTATCAAAGATGACTTCGTTTTCTGGTTACCTGAATCGAACAATGCTGCAGATTTCGTATTTTTCTCAGTACTTGTCCGGAAATAACCACACGCAGAGGTTTTGTGTTTATCATCAATTAAGGGTTCATAAAAATCATTTTGAGTACTCACCGATGAATTACAGGCGTTTACAATCTGTTTTGATTCAGTTAGGTTATTTGGAAATAATCTACATTGCTTTCCAGGCTTGAAAGGAGATTCTAACTTTCCATTCTCGGTTTTTCTACTGCTCCCCGCGTAAATTATGATGTTATCAGATTCCGTAACCTTTGGTTTCTTTTTCGGGGACTCATCGCTCTCTTCAGACGATGAACCACTGTCGTATGCAAGTAGACCTTCCATAATTCACCGGAATATTGTAGGAGTAAAGTTAATACGGTGCCGCCATTTTGATTATACAAACTCATCCCCAGGACCTCTCGGAAAAATAATCCAAGATGGCGGAACCCGGAAGTAAACTACCCGGAAGTAAAAGCCTAAATTACAAACGCGGAATTTACAAATTTTATTTGACTATTTTTTCCCTAATTTTCTGTTGCAGTTCTAATAGAAAGTGATAAGAAATTCTTCGTCCGAAATCCACCATAAACAACTAAAAACACAATATAACTGGCGTTTTTGGTAAACGGTGCTTCTTTTAAAAGGAATAGTCTCTGCTATAAAAACTAAAGAATGATCACCTCGTCTATATGTGGCAAATTTAAATATTCGCCAACAAGCTTCGGTAAAATCAATGCATCAAAAATATTCTCAGGCTCCCTACAGTGTGCTACTAAATTAGAAATGGGAATAAAATATCGGCCCATTTTAAAATCATTTCTTTATTTGAAACTGGAGTGATACTCTCCAGAAAATTGCTTTGTAAACCAGTAAACATTGAATAATGGTATTTACTCTGTTTCAGGCTGCCGTTACCGCTAAAAATGTATGCAATGTGAGTGATCTAGAGTAAACACAATTGGTGTTATCTGCTTCTTTCCACATCAGACCTTTACACACTGGTGAAAAAGTTTTTATTGAGAAATTTGTTCCGGGTGAAAACTAGACAAAATTGTCACGTCAGTAA